GTGTATATCATTGTAGTAAATCATTTCAATTGCGGTTATTAATTGTGTGTTTTAGCTTTCCTTGTGGTTATGCAGCTTCATTGTGGTGATTACTTTTTCGTTGCGATGAATTTGCTATATTGTAGTAATTACCTTTCCAAATTGGTAATTCATCGGACCCTTATAATGATGACATAACTTACAATGAACAACTGATGGAACCATGCAATGCAAACGTGTTTTTCTCTATCGTATCAAAGTTGTTACTTCTTATCCAGCTTGATTAAATAAATAATTTGGTAAAATTTATATTTTAATGATTGTAATAAATAAATAAACGGTACTTCGTACTATAATAATTCAGTTTTTTTATAATGCAGTTAATCGACACTAATATACAGTAAGTCCCGACAGTGTAAACACGAAAACACCTACATGCTAGTTAAATTTTTAATTGTTTTAAAGGTGTTAGGTTGTATATACTTGATGTTGTTGCTCGAAATTTTTCTGAGGATAAAAGAAAAGGAAAACAGAAAATAATTAATGATTGTAATTAATATATCAAATAAATAAAACGAACGGTTCAGTTCAAATGTTCATGAAACATGGAAATAATAATTATTAATACATGTTCAACCCCTTTCGAATACATTTTAAAAGGATATCATGACATCATGACATGTTGATACGCCTGCGCGCAATAATTTACTATGCCGCCACGCGCGAACTGGTTATCGGTGGGAGACAACAACATGAGATCGTGACAGTCCATACTATTTTTTACCACTGGATCTTCATGTATTATTATATACTATATCTTTTATCGACACATCTAGATGTGTATAAGAGACAGTAATTATATTATATATGGAGTCGGCAGTTGCGATCTCCATACCATATCACCCTTTAGTTCAGTGTAATTTAATAATATTTATAGGCTAGGCTAGCGGCGACTTCGTGGTCAACATTTACAAGGCTTCCATCTAGGCTGAGCTCTTGTATACAGTATTTATAGGCCCACACGGGAACGCCAGGCCTACGCTTGGTTTTCCAGGCGCTGTGCTTCACAATAGCAGCTTATGCTTAGTTACAGTTTGTGCAAATGATTTATAGGTTTTAATAATTATTGTTATTATAATTGTTATTTGAGGTTATTCATAATTTCATCATAATAGTAATACTGTAATACTTGAGATTAACGATGTCGTACAGCAGACAGAATAGAATTGTTTCTGTCTCTTATACACATCTATCTCAGCAGAGTAAGTCTGTACTATAGAGGGCGCTGTTTAAGAGTTTGTTATCGAGTTTAATATTTATCTTTGTTTAAAACTGTTCAATAACTGGAATGATAAGACATGTAGATTCTATGTGCTTACCTAAGACAACTTTATTTTCTTTCTTTTCCAGGAAGAATATACACAGTTGTTGAATATATATGCTATGCTATACTGTACTATACCATTTTATACAGTAGAACACTATGCTATAACTGCATTGTAAGACAGCATAATAAAGTGATTTGATGCTAAACACCTGCGGTATTTATGGTCATAGTTCATTGCAACAACGTGTTTACGATCTCATTCTCCGAATTTCAACAATCCCCAACAAAGGATCTAGGCTGCTTGCTTCCGGGGCATTTTCCACAGGTATTCTCCCCCGCCGGACATTTTCCCCGAACATTTGTCACCCACCCCCTCCCATACATTACATATAACAAGAATTTAAATCAATGCAATGAATACAACAAGAGTTACATAGTATTTAAATAAAATTAATTATTAAATTGTACATGATTTTATTTTTGTTACTCTTTCTATTTATTTATAAAAAAAAAAAAATAACTTCAGCATAAGAATACTTATAACATGGAAGATACTTATAAAATTAAATGCGGCAATTATTTCTATTATTACTGAAATACATTGTATTGTATATATATATATATATATATATATATATATATATATATATATATATATTGTACATCATGTGTATTGTACACACATACATATAAAGCGCATATATATAATATATATATATCATATATATATATATATATATACATCATATATATATACTATGTACTCAGTGGCGGCTCTAGGATATATTTTCTGGGGTTGGATAAATTACATTGATTTCATTATACTTACAACTGCCTTAAATCCATTGTGTCTTTAAAGGTTCTGTTATTGATGAATGTCACATTATTACCATCTAGGCCCCTAGAAAAGTGAACCGTTTATGTTATTCACCTACTACACACACACACACACACACACACACACGCACACACACACACACACACACGAGTATAATTTTAAAAAACAAATAATGGAATTTCCCCACGTATTCAAGCAGCAATCAAGAAAACAAATTGCCTGGATACTGGTACTGGTATTCTGCAGCAGTCAAGAAAATTATATGCTGTAATACGACTGGTGATTTAATTATTTTAATGGGGATGTGTTGCAGTTTAGCCCATTTTAATACAGGTCATGCTTTTGGTAGTGTATTCAGGCACAGGCAATCCATAAAGTGACTGCTCTAGTTGCATTGCATTACTGAATATTTTAAAGGTACGCATTATTTTGTTGCACTGTGTACTATTGCGCACTTTTCTGATAATAGTGTTTTCTTATCTTTTCATCATTTTTAATTATATGTAAAGTGTATTTATATCTCAGGGGTATTCAAATATTACCTGATACATTCTAGAACTAAAATAAGTGCCGTATTGTAGGCCTACAATACAAGGCCATTCATTTGTTTACGATTTTTTGTGTTGACTTTTTTTTTTTAGAATTAAGACTTGAAACTAATGTTTCTACAGTATTCAAAAAAGTGAATGTATTCAGAAAACTGCATACACTCTAACAAGAGCAGATAGGTCATCAAAAGCTCCATCAATTGATTGTATACTGTTGTAATTAGCAGATCTGCAAAGAAAATTATTAAACACAAGGTGTTAGCATACTTTATAACTGATTCTCAGTATATATGAATAATATATTACTGGAGACAAAGAAGGAATGGAAGTAATTCAAACCAAAAAATGTTAAGTAATATTGAAACTGATTTTTAAAGTTTAATTTGAAGGTTAACACTAATGTGTTTAAAATCCATACTAAATACAGTGACCCAAATGGTGTTTTTAATTAAGTATGTACGATTTAGGGCTAACTCGCTGGCTTTTTTATATTTATATTATATTTTATTATTTATTTAACTGGAGTTTAAGTGTGGAAATAGAATTTTCATGTATCTAATTCGAATAAGATTGTATCTTGTGTTTAATATCTTTTTTAGGCTTGCAATTGCATATCAAACCAATTCGAAGCGTATTTGGTACTATAGTATAATTCGTCTTTAAGTCCATCACAATTTGTTATGAATCTTGAACATAAATCGCTGCGCGTAGATATAAACTTTTATTTCGCAGACTCAATGCATAAACAATACAATTACATTATTAAAAAAAAGAAGTATACTAATATAAAATGTCAGACCAGCTGACGTACAATTTAGAATTAAAAAGCAATTTATCATACATATTTTTCACAATTGGATTATTAATAATAATAGACCTAATAATAATAATAATAGCAAAAGCAGCAGCATTAATATTATACTTAAAATATGCTAGGCCTGTTATTGCGTAATAGTAGTAGCCTAGGCCCTTCTTAATCTTAGACGCCTGTATACAAATGATTAGGCTGAAACAAAAACAAAAATATGTTGCATACATATTGTATAGGCCTACCTTGAGTATTTCAATATCACCATTTACATGATAATCTGCACAACGAAGTATGGAATTGGGTTTTAAAGAATCTACCATTTTTTAATCTTTATCTTACTTCCAGCATACATAAAATACGGTAATAATGCTATGTATACAGATCAGGCATCTTTACCCAAAACAAACACCTCGTCATGAAATCATGCATGGACGTCAAACTTAGGTTATGCATATTAATGTTTATCAGCTCTACAAATTGACCTACAATAGCGACCTCTATAGTGTGTCCTAATTGTGGGGGGAATTAATGCGAGTCGGAATCCAGTATAATCTATGATTATGGCGGGAATTCATCACTAATGGAATATCCATAGAGGCTGGGAAATCTTTTCAGTAACGAACAGCAAACCACCATGGACACCCTCCTCCTGACATCCAAATGACATAAGTTAAACAGCTTGAGCCGATAATTGTAGGAAGAACGATCTTCATATTTCCTACTATGAAGGCAGGCGTAAAATCTAAGAGGGCTACATCAATAGATGTACAAGAATGCCTATCAAATTGAAAAGTCCTATGATGATAAAGATTTGCTGAAAGCAATTCAATATTCCCTTCCGAAACCCATGCCGATAATTGCTTGGTCATCAAGGTAATTTAAAATGGGTCTCAAGCAAGACTTTCAAAAAAATTATTGATGACAGAGGACAAGGATACGGGACGGTAACTACAAACATTATCCTTTGGTTTGTTACTCCCTTTATATACTGCAACAATGTTTGCAGTTTAAGACGAGGGGATGATACCTTCCATTAAGACATGTGAAAAAAGATTACAAAGCAAAAAGGAGATAACACTACGACCCTGATTGAGAACTCTCGGACTGATACAATCGGGACCCATAGCTGAGTTTGCATTCAGAGACTCAAGCATGCTAAATAGTTGCTCAACATCAACCTCAACATTGCCTATAAGCGGAACATTATTATTGCGGAGCAACAACAATAAGCAAATCGATATTATTGATAAATACATTTTGCAACGTTGTTGAGTAAAGAAACAAACGAACCCTGATTTTTAAAAAAAATAAAGAGTGAGATGAAGCACCTTTATTGAGCGAACATATATACAGAAATAACGCAAAGACTTATCCCTGTCAAGACCTTTCACGTAATGTTTGAATGAATGACGAGTGTACAATTTTTTATTTTTTGTACACATTTTTATAAGGTCTGGTGTAATTCATCTATTCCCCATTTAAAATCAGCTCTACGCATCGAATCATTCATGGCTTAAGTAATTTATATCAACTTACCCTTTCCAAATAATATTAACATATTTGTCATGAAGAAGATCATAAAGTATACATGCTCAAATGATTCCAGTCAGCTTTACCATACTATTACGTTAGGCGAGCCACAAGTTTTTGATAAGATGTTCAAAAATTGCATTCAATATGCACCGCGAGATGATCACATAAAGGGTAACTATCAATAACTGCTACATTAGTAAACATAATCCAGTATGTGACCAACGCCTGCAAGTGTCGTGTACATGACTGTCAATCAGTTGAGACATACCAATACATCGTCACTGATTGAAGAAATATGATAAATTAGCAGGCCAATTAACTGCCTCAATTTAAATTAAAATTTCCTAACAAATAAACAGCCCACAAGTTCGGGCACTTAGCAATAGCATTGTTTACACAATTAAACATTTCAGAGTCAAGAGAAGCATTAAAACCTAGTGGTCTGTAACAAACACTAATCTGGAGTACGCCAGTCCTCGACTGAGCTTGTATCCACATCAAGACTCGGAGGCTGATTCTAGATCTGTGCGGTGGCATGGGTTTAAGGATAAACGACCAGCTAGCAAAACACCTCCACCATGCCTATTGCTATCCCATCTGGAGGCAAAAATAGTCATTAAGCAAAAGTTCACCATCAATAATACTTGAATCCAACCAGGTCTATTGAATATGAATAAGTAGACAACAAACTGTGAGCATTAAATGACAATATTGACAGTAAATTTGTAGACAATGATGGGGTGGTACAGTATAGGATCGTTGTACATCTAAACTGGTTCCAAATAAAGGAATGACAGGCTTTTGAAATGGCATCGAGGACAGATTCAATTAAAAGTAGAAAATGATTTTAACACAGAAAACTGCCGAGTTGAAACACGCCCACACTTAATATGGCAATCGCTTTGATCACAGTCAATCACATAGCTCGATGATTGGAGGTAACAGATTTTTTTTTCCAAAATGAACATGCAATTTTCACTGGCCCAGGATTGGGATAAATATCTCTTGAAAGCAGATGAATATTAAATCATGCCGTATAAGTGTTATAGTAACCACACCACCAAATTTGCATCTTCCAGGCCACATCGCAAAGCTAAGCCGCAGACATTCTAAATTCCACCGTACAGGGACAACGTCAGCTGTGAGACAATTTCCTGTCCTAGCTGGTCCTAGCAAATACAAGACTTTTTTTGTTGATTGTGACTTTTGATTAATGATGTATTGTTCCTTTAAAATGCCAAAAACAAATTTTATAAAATAATTTTAAAATTAACCTGCTCATTTTGCAGTTACATATAAATTATAACTTAAGCATAATAAATTATTTATTTTTTAAAAATGATTTTTAAACTAGACAATTATAATAAAGATAATAAAACAGTTCCAGTGATTGGAAGTGTTTTCATTATTTTTTGCTGTAAAATGACGGGTAAACATTTTAAGTTCAAGTTGGTAATGTTTATGTTACTTCGAATGCGCAGCTTTACAAAGCGATACATTTGTCTAGAGTTAGACTCGATTCCTGTAGTAGCCGCTTGTGCAGTGTGTCGTCTGATATTCAAAATACTATGCGGTCTCGGACTCAATCATCACTTAAATTTCCAAAATTAAATGACGGTGCCAACTCTCTCTGTTATGACCAAATGTATCAAATCGATCAACTGCTTTTACGCAATTATTAATCTTGTATCTTACATAAATGATGTTTGTTTTTCCTTTGCAATGTTCCTCCCAGAGTGTCAGAATAACATAATACACACGCCCTTGCTTGTTTGACGTATTCCAGGCTACGTACTTGTGAATAATTTCCACTTTGACGACGGATAGCTAGGCCTTGTCACCTTTCAAATTGTTTTCGGCGTTCATTTCTGACACCATGTAAAATAACTAAGTTCACGACTATAATTATTGATGAACACTAATATCATAAAATCTCCAATTGACAATTCTTTTAAAAATGGCGAGATCGTACAACAGGTTCTACGCTTCACGCGAGCGCATAGTACTTAGGAACAACAATAACAGGCACAGATCCATAGTGCGCTATATTTTTACAGAATGGATTGCATATAATCCTGAAAATGCGGGTTTTTTTTTTCGTTCTAATTCATAGGCCGAATTTCTATACTATGCTGCTTTCAACCTCCATCGGGCAATGGCAACTGCAGCAGCGTCGTGTAATTAAGCTTTCACTTTCTCCGCTTAGCGCGCTCGCACTTTGGTAACATTCAACAAGTCACGTAAATAATATTTGATTAAATTAAATAAAAATAGAAAAAAATATAATTTCTTAGATTGTTATTTTTGTTTGTTGGTTCCTCATACAGTGCTCCCATCAATTCGAGACCCCTCTAATTCCGAGACCTTTTTAATTCGAGTCCTCTTTTATAAAGCACAAACTGACCACCTATCTTTTAAATTTCGGGCTCACCTTGTAATTATGAGACCCCCTCCAACTCGAGATTAAGATAACTTTTATGAAGGTTTCTTTTTTAGTGTCTTGAAATACGTAGCTTTTAAAAGCAAATGCCGTATGGCAGTTCGTCCGTAATAGGCATCTATGTTTGTAAAACAGACTGTTCACTAAATTAGGCCAGTTTGATTAAAACGATTTTATAAAAAATATCAATACATACATGACCCTGATTCCTTTTGGAAACTTAGGCAAGGATGTAAGGTTGTTAAAGTCCAGTACTCTAAAAGATAGAAATTTAACAAAATTATATTAGGTCAATAACGACTTGGTGATAAGTGGTGATTGGTATGAAATAAATAAAGAGGCAGTTTTTCAAGCACATCATTACAACATTGATATTATAAGTTGTATCAGTGTGAATTAAAACTCGAGAAATTACAGTCAAATTTAACACCAAAAAAATCTTCGGGTAAAAGATGTACGCCACTGCCTGTGCTAATATGCTATAAAACTTAAATATCAGTTACACACGATGAATTTTTATCATATAAAATGTTACAATTTTGTTTTGTTTTGATCACTTCAAGATGTCTACCGATTCGTGAAAAGGGGGTATTTGAAATACGATAAACACGTTTAATGTGAACATTACCTACATCCTGAAGTGTAGACGCCCGTTGTATGCAGATAAAAGTGGATTCTATAGGCTGCATCATAGTTAGTGGAAGGAGTTCTTATTCAAATGATATCATTATACGCAGCCGCGTATATACACACAAAAATGTGTCCACTTACATTATATTTAGGTACTGCAGTCGAAGCAACGTATCATTCGGTATCTCCAATATATTGTTCTTCGAAGCATCACTTAAGACAAAAAAAAAATCACTAATAATGTAGGAATTCAGAATGAGTCGTTATAAAAAAAATCGAATTAAAATGTGGCTACCAGGGAAAATTAGTGAAGCTTCAGGCCCGTAGACAGCGATTTTTTTTTAATAAATCGCCCTTTGTCCAGCAAATCCCAAAGCCAAATAACTCATACACTTTGAATTTTTTTTTCTTGTATACCCAGCGGATATATTGCTCTCAATGCCGTAGCCATCTCTTGGGACGGTTGGAACAGTCCTACACGATGTTTTTATCGTTCCACAAAGAATAGGGTCTACGTTGTGAAAAAATAGGTACAAATTATGCAATTTCACACATAAAATGGGTCCACTTTTTGGAAAAGAGGTCCAGATTTCTCATATTTAGCATAACATGGGTAAAATTTTAAGTAAATGGGTTCAGATTTTTCATATTTTTGCCTAAAATGAGTAAACATTTAAGAAAATGGGTCCACATTACTCGTAAAGAGATTGTCCCGCACTTTTCGAAAATCTTGGCTACGGTATTGATTGCTCTTCTTCCTTTACATTAAATACTTCTTCTGACGATTGCAAGGAGTAATGGGACTGGGACTTGTTTTCCTCCCTGGCAGTATTGCAGTGAATTGAAAATCATTGCCTACTACATTTCAGCAGTGGCTTAACTAGGGGTGCGCAAATAGTATACACCCCTCCTCACTAAACATTGTTCCCCTAGTCGACCTATTGGAAACCATGGAAACCCCAAAAATTACGCTTAAGTAGTTAATAATCACCCCATGACAACCGAAACCCAGTTTTGTCCAAATGCTATATTCTACCCAGGATTATGAAAACCCAGAATCTAAACCCAGTTTACCTAATTTTAATCTATTGCATTATATTTACCGTAGTGGGTAGAAGTGCCAATAATAATAGAATCAACCTTAAAATCGTTTTTTGGCAATTTCTTATGAAGTTATAGGCCGTTATATATTATTTAATCGTGACGTCACTGGCGAAAAATTTAACAAAAGATCGTGCAAATAAAACCGCGTAGGTATCCACCGTGTACGATCTTTGCGTGCATGCTGTAACCATGGCCTATAACTGCATCAGCCGTTGTCAACAAATGAGTTACAGCCATGGTTAGGCCTACAGCATGCACGCAAAGATCGTACGAGGCGGATACCTACGCGGTTTTATTTGCACGATATTTTGTTACATTTTTCGCCAGTGACGTCACGATTAAATAATATATAATGGCCTAAACTTCATAAGAAATTGCCAAAAAACGATTTTAAGGTTGATTCTATTATTAATGGCATATCAAAATTTCCCTCTAGAACAAAAAAATCATTTTGCTAGTTCTCTTTTAAGTTCCATCTAAGAAACCTATGGAGAATCAGGAAGTTCATAGATAGATTCCGTTGTGAGGGCACTGGTTCTTTGAAGACAGGACTACTGCAATTCACTGTACAGTGGCCTGTTAAAAAAGGATATATTCACCCTAAAAAAATTTCAAAATTCTGCAGGTAGATTATTTTTTTCTTGTAAGTCACCAATACTGTTCATTGACCTATGTCACAAGGCATTTCTCACAGACCATTGGTCACAATGAGTTGCCATTTATGTCAAATTCCTGAAAATGTATTATTACTTTTTATTTGGTTTAGTTAAATTAAAATTGACTGAAAATGGCCCTACTCACCTTTGACCCACAATACATGTTGTAACTCTGTAATTACTAGTTTTAAAGATCTGATTTTGGTATAATTTAGTTAGTAAACAATTCTATTCAATTAATATTATTAAAGGTAAAGAATCCATATCAAATCAAGTCTGTTTAATTTTAATATAATAATTAGTACATATATAAATGTATAATATATAATATACATAATATATATAATATATAATGTATAATATATAATATATAATATAATAATATAAAATATATAAAATATATAATATAAAGAATAAATATATTCTTTATTCTTTATTCTTTATTCTCAACCAACAGTGTAAAACATCAATAATAGGTTGAAATAAAATTTTCAGTAATCAGAGCATAAATATATATACAATACAAATTAAAAAACGAGTTTTTTAATTTAAAAGACAAGCGTTATAAGCTGACGAAATTCTACGGAAAATAACATTTTTACAAACATTTACACGAGAATGTTTAACATGAAGAAAAGGATTATAACAAATATTACGAACAGGTACATTAAAATGAAACATGATACAAGACTACATTTAAACTTAGAGTTAAGACATTTGTACAAAAAGTATAAATCTTGTCTTGCTCTACTAGACGTCAAAGAAATGATAGGAGGCCAATTGACTGCTGGGCCGATGAAGCGGAAGAATTTTCTATGGATTCGATCTATTCTGGAAACTTGGGAAGCAGAGAGAGAGTTATATATAACTGAGCAAAAATCGAGTGATGGTTGGATAAAAGATAAGTAAAGTGCACGTTTTGTGTGTGGGGAGAACTGAATGCAATTGCGCCACATTAGCCCAAGCAATCGATTGGCCTTTATAACAATGTAGTCAACATATGAAATAAATGTCAGTTTACGGTCAATAAAAATGCCGAGGTCACGAAAGGAATTTACACTTTTAAGGACCTCACCTTGAACAGAGTAAGCAAAAGTAATAGGTGTATCCTTAAGAGGCAAGACAGGACTTTGAATTTATCGGACTTCAGGGACATTTTCCAGTCGGAAACCCACTTGCCGAGTCTTTCAGATCTGCCTGGAGTGCAATGGAGTCCTCAATGGTAGTAATGATTTTATATATCTTGAGGTCATCAGCGAACATATATAATATATATAACATAATATGTATTATATAGTATATTTTNNNATATATATATATATAATGAACATATATTATCATTAAATGGAACAAATTATTCAACTGTAGCGGCTTTAAAATATTAAAGGGCGAAGGTTAAGTGTCAATGTTCAGTGATTAAGTTAGGGAGATTCAGATGGCAAAACATGCAAAAGTATTATCCAATGGTAGGTGTGTGGAGAGCAAGATTTCTGTGAGGGGGTTATTTCTTGTGCTCTTATTTTCTTCCCAATGCATCACTGATTCCTTTATACGATATCAGATAAAATAAAATGACTATTATATGATATATAAATGAATAACGACATGATTTTGGCAGCGGCCATTTTGAAATTCAAAATTAAGGCCCTAGAAGTGAATTTAAAAAAAACTGGCACCCAATTTTTTTTCTTAATTAGTGAATTTTTTAGACATTTCTAGACATGTTTGCCAAGAATTTACCCTAAAAAATATGACATAACACAACAGACTTTCTTATTGTTCCCTCATATCCTTCTTTTTTTGATCTACTGTAACATTCTTCAAAAAAGGCTATCAGGATTATACCTGGCTCTCTACCACGGGCTCATTCATCCCATCTATTCTCAAACTTAAACCTACTCAAACGCAAAGATATTAGTTTATTCCAACAAGGCTCATTTATTTATTCTGCAACGCACTCTCTTCTTCAAACTCAGTTGAGCGATATATTTTAATATTCACAATTACTCTATTCACACTTACTTTACCCGATCAACTAGAATTAACGTACCCATTTATGATACAAATTACTTTCAGCACAATATTAGATACTCAGTTCCCACTTTCATTAACAGCTTACTATCCACAATCTTAAATTCCATTTCTTTAAAATAATTTTCCTCATCAAACTTAAAAAAAACACTTGATTTAAAATTATTAAGCTATAATTTATAATATCGGTCGTTTCTTGATGTGTATTGCTCTGATCAAAATTTATGTAATTACTTATTTACTTATTTATTTTTCTGTTTTACTTATTTTTGTCGGTCTGTTTTAATTTCAGTTGTGATTTTATATTTAATTTTATTTTATTGATTTTTTTGATGATGAATTTTTTTTTGTTACTTTTTAATGTATTTATTAATTCAGTTATAATTATGCAATGAGTTTTCATTTTTTATTTTTTAGGCTTGCCCAACACAAGATTTTTCCTCTCAGGAAAGAGCTTACTTTCATTGCGTGTTTTCATTACTTATTCCTCTTTTTATCACATTGTGTATATTATTGTAACACATGACAATGGCAGAGGCCAACACCATATGGATATAGAGCCTATAAAAAATGCCTTGTAATGAGGGTCGAAGGTCAGTAACAGCATTTCGTTACTTTTAACCGAATAGTAAATAAAAAGGTGTCTACTGAATAATTGGAGATCGATCTGTACAGCCAACATTGAAACGTGTCAAAGGTCTGAAAAGGCATTTCCTGTCATTTATTAGCAAACTGTTTTATTACACCAAATAGAAACATGAATGTTCCAATCATATTGATACCACAATTAACTCTCTTCCACCAGTGGTTGCGAGATAAGGACACTGTGTCTATGACATTGAACATGTCAAAGGTTAGAAAGGGCATTTCCTGTCATTTTTAGAAAAACAAATTCTATTAGAGTAAATACAAACATGAATGTACCGAACAAATTAGCACCAAAATTAACTCTCTACTACCAGTGGTTGCAGAGATAATAAGGACTCAATGTTTAATATTAAAATTAAAGTTAAAGTTCAGAAACGTCATTTTCGATCACTTGTTAGCAAACTGTTTTATTAGACTAAATAGACATGAATGTTCCAAAGAAAATGAAACCCTAATTAACTCTCTACCACAAGTGGTGGCGGAGATATAAGGACCTTATGACTATGACCTTCAAAACATGACAAATTTCTGAAATGGCATTTCCGGTATCTTTAAGCAAATATTTCTATTATAGGAGATAGAAATATGATTGTTCCAAACAAATTGTCACCAAAATTTAATCTCTACCACCTGTGGCTGCGGAGATATAAGGACTCCATGGATATGACATCTGACCATGACCTTTCGCCACATTTTGAAAATGTGTTACCAAGCCAAAAAAATATTTTTGGATCACCCTGAACTGATCTATTAAACAGTTCTTGAATACACTTTAAAACTTGTTTGCAAATCATTAGATAGGAAAAAACACCTATACTTCTGAATTCAAATGAACCTCATTGAGATGGAAGCACGATTTTCTGGTCGACTTCTTTCGTCAATACACGTTGTTTATTTAAGGTGCAACAATAAATAAATCATGTTTTTATACACTTACAATAATCGCCTGTAAACTCTCCTTGTGTTTAGTGTGTTTCACTTTGTTTGTACCCAGAACAAAGGACACACACGCCGAAAATAATTACGCGTCGTATATGGTCGGTCCGGGTTTCAATCTAAATCAATAGTTAGTTTCAAATTGTGTTCAGCGTTTCTTTCGCTCTGCATGAAATTTGTAGTATACGCTCGTTTGAATATACATTAACGTCTAAAACAATAATTAGTCTCTTAAAGCATCCATGAGCACATGTGAAGGTGTAGGCCTACAATACTTTGATTGTGGGGTGAGCTGGGCCTAAATCAGGAAAATCAAGATTTGTTGCGTATGTTACATGCTACTGAATATTGTAACATCTGCAAGCAGTATGCTTTGATCGAGCACTGCTCTCGATTTGTGTACCTAATACAAAAATCATTCAGATTTTAAACATAATCAAACGGCATCAGAGTTTGTTTCCCTGTATTCTATAGCATTCTTTTATGCAATAAGAATGACGGCCCTACTTCGGAGAATAATCCTATACTACTCCTGCTGCTGCTGCTGCGCCGCCGCCGCCGCTGCTGCTACTACTACTGTTGCTGCTACTGCTGCTGCTGCTGCTACTACTACTGCTACTACTACTACTACTCAAGGAAGCGAACGACACCCCCCCCCCCCTTAAAAAGCTGNNNAAGCTGGATGCCTAAAAGTCACCTCCATTGGAACCCTGCATTTCACCACCCGATTCTCCTAATAGATCTGATAAGTATCAGTTTCGGTGACCATTCATGATGCTGTCACCGACTCTGATTATTGGATTGTGATCAGATAATTGATGGCTGGTGCCGACACCAGTATAGAAGTGTATCAGCATTATATTTGTCACCGAAACTGATCGCTTAAAATCGGCTGAATTTCACGGTAATTTGTGTTTTCCCACATTTGTAGCTAGTTTGAGGCCGCATAAAACACAAAACGAAAAGTTTAAGCTAATATTCGAAATATGTAGTTACGGTATTAAAGATAAAACTTTAAAGTGGATTGCGGAATATCTTGCTGGTCGTTCACAGCGTGTCTCAATAAATGGATGTCTATCTAGTAAAGTCCTAGTGCTAAGTGGTATCACACTGGGCTCTGTTTTGGGTCCAATTTTGTTTACTATTTTTATCAATGATTTACCTTTAGTATCTAACTCCTTCGTAAAATTGCTCGCAGATGATACAAAGCTTTTTAGAGTTGTAGACTCGGTTGATGATAGATTCCGTCTCTAGGAAGATTATTAATGCCCTATGTGAGTTGTCTCGAAAATGGAACTTGCCATTCAATAGTGACAAATGTAAAGTTGTTCACTATGGAAGAAATAATCCAAAATGTTCCTATTTTATGTTTGGTATTGAAATTCAGGCAGTTGACAGTGTAAAGGATTTGGGAGTTACCTTTGATTCCAGTCTTAATTTTAGAATGCATGTTGCCGATATTTGTAAAAAAGCTAACATGAAATTGGGCATGATAAAACGGTCTTTTAGATTCCTGAAGAAAAAAGGTCTATTGAAATTGTATAAGTCTAAAGTGAGACCAACTTTAGAATATTGTAGTGTAGTCTATAACCCAATTTATAAGAGAGAGGCAGATTCCTTAGAGAAAGTTCAACAACGAGCAACTAAGATATTTTTTGAGGTAAGGGATTTTCCGTGTGAAGATAGACTTAAATTTCTCAATTTTCCAACTCTAGCGTTCCGTAGACAGAGATCTGATATTTTACAGCTTTTTAAAATTGTCCATGGAATTGATAGGGTTTCGGGCGATTTATTTTTTGAGTTTGATAAAAGTGCTCGAACTAGAGGTCACTCTTTTAAGCACTGTACGACACACTGTAGTACACTTATTAGAAGTCGTGCTTTTTCATTTAGGTCAGTCAGGCTGTGGAATTCTTTATCGAATGAAGACGTTACTCTAGCTCAATTAATGTATTTAAATTTACAATCGAAGTACGTTTGGCTGACCATCCGCTCAAATTTGCGCCCTATGTTAATAAATTTTAAATATTATGGGTTTTAATTTTTTGAGGGGCCTATAATAAGCATCGTTTTGCTTGGCCTCTATACCCAGGAGGATCAGATTATGGAGAACTCTCTTGGGAAACAAGTAAACAAGAAAACAAGTAGACTTCATATTTATATTTGCACATCTTCAATTTAAAAATCAGAGTAACACAATGGCTTTTCTGCTAATACAGGAATAGACAAAAATACTCATCAGAACCTATTATTCGATAGCCAGGATCAAAGAGATATGTGCTTTATGAAAATGACTTACCTAATGTTGATAGTGAATTCTGTGTTCTGACCAAAGTCTTTTCTTTTTTTTTCTTTCCAAAAATCTAAAGTTTATTCACATTACTCCAATGCCTAAATTCTATTTGAGTTTAGGACTTAGGTCCAGGGGGACGAATGAGGGACCAAACATGTAATGGTAAACCTATACGTGACATGGGGTACCTTTCGCCTACTAAGCAATTAGTAGAGCTCCGCGTAGTACGCTATAGGAAAATTATCATACGAAGGTTAGATTTAATGCTTGAACAAAATTCAAGAGGGCCTGTAAGACCGGAAGAATTTTTTGAATGCATTAAATCTAACCTAAGTATAATAATTTTCTTATAGTGTACTATGCGGAGCTCTACAAATTGCTTTATAAGCCAATCGCCGTCTATTAATTTTAGTTTTTTTCATAACAAACTGTTGTCGCAGTCACCGGTTGCTATAGTGATATATCAGTATTCTCTGTGTGTACTTACATTTAGCTGTGCGTATGCTTATTTGTGCTCCTGCTTCATACGTTCCCGAGTACGCGTTAACTACAAATCAGCAGGTACAGTACGGAAACGATGAATAACTCTTGTAATTTTCATTGTGTTAAAGAACTTTTTTGTAATGCTGTTTTGGTGGACATTCGTCAAAGAAATAATAATTTCAGCATTCGAGAGAGAATACAGTCCTGAACTTTAGAAGGCCTCGGTGGCCTTCACGCCTACCCGTAGGCCAGTATCTAAATTTGTTCCTTGAGTCTTTAAAATAGCTCTAGAATATTCCTATTAAACGTTCAGTTTGTTTTGTTTATGAGGGCACACTGATTCAATGAATTAATTAATTGTTCATACTTAATATTGAATTTGAAGTAACTTTCTTCGGGTCATAATTAAGCTTGTTTTACGAAAGTAATTTTAAATTACAATTCAATTTCATTGCAGTGCGCCATGTAATGTAATGTAGATCGATTTGTATAGCGCTTTATACCGGAGTCTCAAAGCGCTGTGGACTAGCTCGTACAGTAACTTTCTTCTTTCCTAAGGATCTCTTCATGTCTGAGCTACCCGGTACCAGCTACACTTTTCTGCCCACAACAGGGCCTGTTTGGACCAGTACATCGGGGTAACCCTCTGCTTGTCTCGAAAGATGTACTAGGTTCTTTTAAGTGCACACGAGCCAAACGGCGTACACTGGGCCTACGGTTTATAGTTCTATTCCGAGGAAACTTGTTCACCACCAGAACCATAGGCGAGCGTGCCGTTCGAACCAGCGCCGATATATTGACTGTAGGTTGCGGAATGAAGACATTTTGTTTTGTTTTTGTTTTTTTCTTTTTTTTGCACACGAACCTAAAAAAATCAAGTCAAGCGTCCACTAACTGAAAATTTAGTGGACTGTGGGAGTTCTGCAAATAACATCGGGAGTTGCAGTGATGACGTCACGATTGACTTATAATGAGCAATATAAGTGTTAGTAAGGTTTCGAAAGTAATAATACATAATAATACAGTATAATTATTTCATTATTAAATCTAAGTGTTTTCCAAAAAGGCGGATAAACATCGAAACACTTACAGATACGTGGTGTTCACCGGTATGCCTTCGGGTAATTCACTAAGTCCACGTCCCGTACAATCAACTACCCAAGTACCATCTAAATGCCACTGGCAATTACAATCGCCCGTCGAGTGGGTGTCTCCGCATGCTGACTGGCTGGAAAATTTCACGAGTAGTAGGAGTGTTGTCCAACGTAGAACACTCATTCTTTAGTCGCATTTAATGTTAAAGACATCAATAAATGGTGAACAAAATAAGGTACGAATTGATAAACTACAAAACGTTCAATAACGGCAGATTGGAGTAAAATAGCCTAGTCTGTGTTTAGAAGTTTCACATCCTTATTTTGTTAAACAATACCAATTCATCGTGTTCATTGAGGCTTCGAGAGATTTGTTTAGATTATTAAAATACACACCGTCCAGACGCAAACAGAATCAGGAAATAAAGTACTACAAAAGAACACGCAATTAACGTCTCCACGAGAGTTGATTGACAGATAAACTTACTAATCCGCGAGCGCCATTTAGTCACGTGATCAAAAACTTTTTCTCGGACATTTTAATTCCTTAGATAGCTGGTTTAAAAGCAAAACATACGTTAGCCTAGGCCTAGATAGATACCCAGATTTACATGAGCAGTGCGCATCAGTGACTTGGCCTTTGCCGACAACAAGGTTGACTGAATGCGGATCTTCCCTCTTCTTTTGGGAGCGAAATACACAGGCTTTTACAACAATTTCTCCGCCATGTTCCATAAAATAGATTAACACTATGAATATATGATTCATTTGCCTACTGCCTACCCTGAATTCTCTTTCTTAAAGAGGTTTGATAGCAAAGAATATCTTTGCAAACTCGATAAGTCTAGCCGCCGTTGTCTAAGGTTTTCGTGATTTTGTGGGCTGGGCTTCGCGTCCTTGTCGTCAGAACTTTCAAAATGAAATACACGGGGCACCTTTTTTTCTTTGCACAGTAGGCAACCTACTATTATTACTATACACACGTCAACGTTTTTCATAGTAGTGAAAATAAAAATAATAAAAGTAATAATGATAAGAGTAATAATAATAATAATAATAATAATAGTAATAATAATAATAATAATAATAATAATAATAATAATAATAATAATAATAATAATAATAATAATAATAATAGATTGACAAAATTAAAACACTTCTTTATTAAGACATGACGAACTGTTCTGAAATTGTCATTTTTATCCATTTATCCATTTTCGAGATATTCAGGTCATTTATTATTTTTAGATATATTAAAGTTTAAATGAACTTCAAATTCTTACCCGAATTTAAATGTCACCAACACTTTTCTTCCTTGTAACATGGTTAAACTTTTATGAAAGTTTCATTCAGATCATGAAGTTGATTATTTTTTAAATATTTGGTCTTGGACGTTTTTCTCTAAATGGTCCTCATATCCATGTCCTACTCCGGGTCGTCACCAAAATGTAATCACCTCATTCTTGGATCATACTTAATAATCCATGTAACTGCCATTTAGATCTGTGCAGCTGTCTTTCAGATATTTTGAACACAAGAAACACACAGGACCTTAAAATTTAAATGACTCTCAAATTCATACTCGAATTCGGATCGTCACCAGCACTATAATAGTGTAGTTTTATATAGCGCACATATCCATCTAATGTAAGATGCTCAGGGCGCTTGATATGTGGACTAGGAACTCGATCAATGACTTTCTCCACCTAAGGGTGACTTCGTGTCTGTGCTACACGGCAACCTGGGTTTATGTTTGTGCAACAAGTTTTGAGATATGTCAAAAAATAAAAATCACAATATCACATCATCATCATCATCTTCATGGTCGTTACCAAAATGTAATCACCTCATTCACCATTTAGATCTGGGCAGCTATTTTGAACACAAGAAACACGCAGGACCTTAAGAATGGTTGTCCATAAAAATCAAAGATTTGGTCGCAGATGTCTGAAAATGGATTTCTCTCAAATTTTTACCATGAATAGATACTTGGGTAAAAAGCATATCTATGACAATTGTTTACTGTATTTTTTTTTTTGCCTTCGTTGTCATGGCAACGACTCATTATCTTACCGTTTTTGTTAATTTTGAACATTTTTAGAAGTAAAAAAACACTGATTTTCAGACCATATTAAAAAAAAAGAACATGCACTATATATATTTTTGTGATCATCCATGTAAATAACCAGGTATTAACTTCCATTTATCGAAAAAAAAACGTGTAAAAAATCTTTTTGGAAGATAGTATTATTTACAAAGAGGGCTTTTTCTCAAAATATATATTTTTTTAAAGTATGCCTAGCTCAGAAACCTATCTATAACTTCCAATGCGGTGCATACATATCTTCCATCTTCCATATTTTAATAGTCAATAGTTGTCTAAACAATACTCAAGAAAAAAGTTGTGGGTAATTTACACACGTGGATGCGGTATTGCCAGAAAAACGGCATTTTTTGAATAAAAATATATCATTTTTTACTAAATGGATAACACTATAAATCAACGTAAATTTATTTTAAAATACTGTTACTATAGTTAAATAGTCTAACAACATGTTAAGAAATGTGTTGCCAGGCTCATTTTAAGTAATTTAAAACTTAATTTTGTACTGTATTGCCAGAAAACATCATTGTTTTTATTAAAAATTAAGGTAAATATACATCTTTTTACTAAACAGTTAACGATATAAAATATAATATAATTCATTAACTATAACAAATATAGTTACTTGACTAGTTTAACAACATGCTAAGGAATGTGTTGTAAGGTTTGCCAATATGCATTACTGTATTGCCAGAAAAAGCAGCATTTTTTCATTAAAAATATTGTAAATATACATTTTTTTTACTGTGCGGAAAATGCTATAATATAAAATATAATTCATGTAACCATAATATTACTATATACATGACTATCATAACAACATGTGTTGCCAGGTTTATTTCAAGTATGTTAAACTCAATATTATACTGCATGCATGTAAAGCAAAAAACTTAATTTAACTTTCTGTAACAGTGTAAACAAAACAAATTTAAACACCACTCTGACAAAAGCAATCCATGATAAATTCGCTTTCAACGACGAGTTATCATTTTAAAATTACTCAATGTATTTGTTGAATTCACCATGAAAAGGTAATTGTACCATATACAATTGGAATGTAAAGATCAACAGTTTCGTGGACAAGCATTTGGAGGTTGCGATTCCTCTTCGGCAGCTTAAAGAATATCTTCATCGGAATCGTCAACAGTTTAGTAGCCTACAGTGTACTACTGCGTCCTGACACTTCTCTAATAGCTTTACATCTTTTGCTTAGATATTCTGATGGTTTAGATAACTTAGACGTCGTTCCCAGCTCTTCTCATGTCTTTGTCAACCTCTGACACTGACTATTTGGAATTTCTTTTTGTCAGGACATATTCTTTTTCTGGAAGCGGTTTGGCGCAGCGTGAAAGGTTTGGTTTCCCAACCTCGAGGTCGGGGTTTCAATCCCTCGCTGTGCATTTCGCTTGTATCCTTGAGAAAGACACTTTATCTGCATTGCCTCTCTCCACCCAGGAGTATAAATGGGTACCTGGTGGGGTTGCGTGCTCCTGCGCTGAATACAGCAGCAACACTTAAGCATGTGGATCCAATGAATATGATTAGATTAAATTAGATTGTTGTTTCTAAAAATCTTGCGTTTTTTCTTGTTTTCTTTTAATGTGAAGGTGCGTGTTTAATAAGTGTTGAATATATTTTCAGTAAACTTCTATCAGATTACTCTTCATATTCACCATATCCACACCTATTTGCTCAATATGGTAATACACGATAAAACACAAGATTTAAATATTTCACTCCATGCACTTGTTGTCCAATTGTTCAGTCTTATGATCACATTCTTAAATATCTATCTCGCTTAGAAATACAACAATCCGCCTTCTTACCGCCTCCTTGTAGAACTGAACGTTTCAAATCTTCATTTCTGACATATTCTCTAAATGTCTATCCGTCTTCTGCCAACAATTCCTCCATTTGTACTACTCCGCTACATTGGTCTATTGTTTAATTTGTTTATGATTCTTTTGGCCATTGCAAATATATATTGATGAACATAAATGTAATGTTCTGGTATGGCAGATAACAGTCGACTGATGGATTTTGGAGCAAATGAAAATTAAATTGAAAGATTAGACTTTAGAAGATAAAAATGCTATCATGGGAGTATGCAAGTGTCGGTTAAAAGCCTTTTAGAATAACCTAATTCTGCTTTGTCCAACAGTGTTTGATTCTCAGGTCTTTATTTAAGTGTTCCTGTAACTATCTAATTTTCTAGGGTACAGAAGCTTATGTAGGACTTTATAAATCAATCTTCGGGACGGAAAAACAAATGATTATTAAAGGTATCCTTTATTTCTAAGTTGGCCTTGTGCACAGACTGGTAGATGTTGGCGAACAGGTTGACCAGACGGGGTCAGTGCATTTGTCCGGAGGTCCTTTGGTCCGAAGGTCCGTTGGTCCGAAGGGTCTTTGGTGCGAAGGTCCGTTGGCCCGAAGTAATTAATTCAAATATAGAGAAAAATATATTTGAAGAAAAAACATGTTTGGGACCACCATGTAGGTCTATATTGGCTAACAATATACAATTATTGCTAGCATGACTTGTCAGCTAAGTTTATGTATGTTTTTAACAAATTATTAGAAAATGAAAAGATTCCAAGCGAATGGAGCGTAAGTATAACTTCCTAATCTTTAAGCAGGAGAGAGAAAAGTTTTAATAACAATAGGGGAATTCAAGTAACTTCCATACAGTGCTTGCAAAATCTTTACAGATTTATTTACTTATGGCCGATGAGAAACAGTTAACTACTTTTTGACTTTTACAAAGTAGACACATTTTCAGTGGCGGCGAAAGCATCTGGGAAGGAAGGTGGGGGGGGGAGAAGGGCAAGGTAAAATTTTTTTTGCGGGGGGGGGGGGGTTCCTTGACTAGAGCAAAGTGAGCATGGTCGGGTTTCAATTAAAATGTTTCGAAAGTTGTCCATTGGGCGGATTCCCCGCAAAATGTGACAATTTAGGGGTTTCAGAGGGATATTCAATCGATTCTAAATAGATAGTCTCCTAATGTGTAAGAAATACATATTTCTCCTCGACGAATTGTATTTTTCTCTACTCTTCTGGGGGGGGGGGCAAACTGGGGGCCACAAATTATCTAGGAGGAACTTTTCCCCCTGTAGTGCAAAAGCAAAGTTAAAAGCAAATAAGCACTATATATGATTCGTATCATAGTACATTGAGTTTCAATTCATAATACTACTAGTAATAGTTCAACTGAAATTCTCACTGAGAACATCTTTCTATCCACGATCGAGAGAGAAATTTTAATGATGTGAGTTAGCC